ACCCCCCCGAGATGAACATCCCATCGGACATCCTCGACAGCTCCACGGCCGATTACGCCCTGCCCACCGTCGCGGAGGCATTGGAAGACGCCAAGGTTAACGCATGGCCAGACCGCCGCAGCCGACGCTACGCGTGAACACAACCAACTTGAGAATAACAACCTACCGGACAGATAACAACGAATGGAAGCAAGCACACCAAGATTTTGAGCTTTATTTATTAACTACGCCGGGTTTGCTCTTCGTCTGTGTTGTCATGCGATTGGGGTGTTCTAGTGTACGCTTGCGGTAATGCCGCAAGTTTTTTTTTTTTTTTTGTCGCCGCCGCCGCCGTCGCCGGTTTCAGGCCGCTGCCGGAGTCAGGTGGTATACAGAGCGAGAGTCACTGTTGAAGTGGAAATCGGGTCTATTCGCAGAGGAGTCTGTGTCACGAAATCTAACAATACAATGGTATTTTCGGAGAGTTTTTTTGTTTGCGTCCCGTCTTAGGTGGTGCGGACCATGGTTTGCTCTTTTCTCGAACATGCCCTCGGTCTACTCATGTTTCCCCCTCCAAAGTGTGGTATGCATACAGACCGTTCTTGCAATTCGAATCTCGTTTCGACAACGATGTTTACAGAGGGTCGATTCTTGAGAAGACAAAGTTGGCTACGTTGCTATATACCCTAGATCCTGTCGCAAGAACGATCAAGAGATGCACCGCAGCAGGAAAATGCGGGGACTCAGATGAAGAGAAGATATGCAGCCTTGGGTGATTCCCCGGCCCTACCCGACAGTGGTTGATAGCGTAGAGGTGTCAGGTGTAGGGAAAGGAGCCGGAAGAATAGGATATCTTCATTTTTTGGCTGAGTTTGAAAGGTAAGTGTGCCGCCGGGGGCTCGTTGAAGACAAGCTCAGGGGGAGGGGGCGGGGGGGGGGTGACCCGCTACGTACTCAACCGCAGAGTGGTGGCCGAACGAGACTGTGTACAAGTAGACGGCATAGATTAGGTACATGAAACGAGAAAAACATTAACAGTACAGGGAAGAGCGCGACGTGCATGTGTTGTGTTTTGAGCTGATTATCTGCTCACGTGCATTTCTTCTTGGAAGTAGGAGCATCAAGCGCTGTTGTGTAAAGTCTTTGTCGTCTGTGTGGCGGCGGCCAGCCTCTGAAATCAACGGCTCTTTTTCTTGTCGGTTGCTTGCTTTCGCCGCGAGCGAGATACGCACAGATCATGTCACCCGATTCGTCTGAGGCCGACCTCTCCTTCGGTCTTGAAAAAATCGACGCAAACCAAAGCTCCTCCCCGCGAAGCGAAGCGGGCATACCCAAGACACGTGTTCACGGGTGCTGCTAAAGTATCATATCATCGGTCTCCCTCCCGTGACTTGCCCGCGGAAGATAAAAATCCAAGACATGATCATCCATAAGGTGTCAACCGCGATGAAAACGGTAGGTCGCCACCACACCCCATCCGCCCTTTTCCACCCTGTTCGCCACCACGTCTGTCACAGTTTGCTTGGGAGCCTTTGGGGCTCCGTGACTACCCCACATTTGACCAAAAGTTGGAGTTCTGTGACGACTCCACCCTCACTTGACCAAACATTATCTCTACTCTGTAAACCAATAACTTGAACGTTGTGTTGGTCAGTCGGTGAGCCTCTCAGGGTGAGTTATTTCTGGATCACACGGAGGGCGTAACGCCCCCACCGAGGTGACCATCAGCTCCATTTTTTCTTCCTCCTCGGCCTTGTCCTCGGATAATGAAGCGGCGGCTTCAAATACTGCACGGCCGGGGGCTAATCCTCCGAGAGCGGCGGCAGCATCGCTGTTGTTCCCCTTGCCGGTGGACTGCCCCCGAGGCCCGCTGTCAGACGAGACCTTCGAGTTAGCAGCAACGCCGCAGATGCTGCCGTCTCCAAAGGAGGCGCTGCAAGGGGCGGCGTTGGCGCCGGCGTCGGCTGCGAGAGCGCGCACGCAGGTGGCCCGGGCGGGGGGGGGAGGGGCCCTTCTTCCTTCGTGTGTACCCGCGTTGCTGACGTTCCTCCCGATCCCGAGCTTGGTGGCATCACTTAACGTCGTGGTTGTCGTGCATGCCCCCCGTTGCTGAAGTAGTGATGGCGACGACTTGGGCGCAGAGGTTCGTTTCGAGGCGGCCTTGGCCGCGGCGGTGGCCGTCAGTACCAGCTTCTCGGAGAACTCTTTGAGCTTCTGGCGCTCCGTGCTGGCCCACAGTGCTTCCGTTAGCTCGCAATCCTCTGACCCGAACACTGCCGCCTGTTTGATTGTGTTTTCGCGAAATGAAATCGAATCAAGGCCGGAAAGCAACGGGCGAGCCGCATAGTCTAGGGGACATCCTGACTCTCTACTCGCAAGAGGCGAATGAGCATGGTCGGTCATCGTGAGCTGCTTGGTGGGGAGTATGGTCGTCCCATGGGAGCATCCCACGTCAGCCTTCCAATATTATTTGTATCGTCAGGACAAAGTTTTCCCCTTCAGATCGTTGCTTCCCGTGGCAGATGACGAGAAGGATAGCCGGCAAAAATAATTGCTTGACTAACTGGCCGTGGGTCGTGGAGATCACGTTCGGTACTCTTGGAAGCATGTGCAGACGCGAGAAATGTCGTCCGCAGCTTTTTCATTGCCACGTGAGGCGTGAAATGTGATTGAGTCGTTTCCGGTATACGAGAAAAGTGGCCGGGTTCATGAATGTATTACGAGTGTCCTGCTCGAACCGCCCCCCTCCCACTCTGCGTGTTCAACTAACCTACGGCATCGTGTGTCTCCAAGAGGATGGACACTTGCAACTATTCCCCCTTCTGCACTTCGGAAGACGCAAAAAAAACTTTCCGAGTACACAACACCCCGTTGCCTATTCATCGCCATTTTGATTTTATTAAAAGTCAAAGTGTCTCACACCTGAACGGCCGAAAAAAAGTGCTCCATGTCCCTGCCGTAAAATCCCTCACTCCGAACCGCAAGCATCGCCATCAGCCCCGCCGCCTTAGCCCTGAAACCGTCGCTCAGGCGAACAACGCCACCACCACCACCAGTCCTCGGATTCTCCTTTTCATCTTCCGTTGTATCGGCAGGGAGGTGAGCCTCTGGCTGATGCTGCTGCGTGGTGCTGGCGGCGGCGGCGGCGGCGGCGGTCGCCGCTTTCGCCATCGCCGTAGGCCGACCCCCTTCCCTCCTTGACTCTACGAACTCCTGTCTCTCGCCATTGGCGTCGAGGTCGCGGTCGACATCATCGACATCCCTCGATCCCGTGTTGCTATTGCTATTGCTGGTGCTGCTGGTGCTGCTGGTGCTGCTTTTTCTAAAGTGCCATCCTCCGGCTGCACTACTTTCCCGCCCCCCGACCGGCGATGTCGTCTCCACGGCTGGTGCCCTCACCGCTCGTGCTTCCGCCGATCCTAACACCGCCGTTGCACGCAAGAAGTCGGCCGGTGGGTCGTGGTGGAGGTAGCTGGAGAAGTACTGGCGGATAAGCCGGGCTCGCTCAGGGAATCCTGGGGTCGGCAAGTGGACGACTTCGTCCACGCGGTCGAGTATGGCCTCGTCGAGATCCTGTGTCGGATCGGACGACGAGTCATTGCACGTTTTTCTGCTGTTATCTTGGGTTGCTGTGGGTTGAGTCGCTGAGGCTGTTGGTTTTACTGCTATTAGAGCGATGCGCGGGGGGGTAGACTTCTTGTTGTGGCTTCTTGGTAGAGCCACATGTACATCCCTATGCAAATTCCACCTACCTGTGGACAACTAGTAGTGAGGACCATCAGGAACCCGGCTCGGAGCTCGCCCGTAGACAAAAGAACGGCGTTCAGCGCGCTCCTGGCGTTCTCGCTCATCCCTTTCTTTCTCCGGTCGCCGAGAGCGGCTTCGGCTTCATCCATCACCACCGCGACCCCTCTCCCCCTACTGCTACCGCTACCACCGCCACCGCCGCCGGCCCATCGCATGAGCCCGCTAAGCTCCGACGAGGCGTTTCTACCGAGGGAACCGACGTCTCCCCCGGCGACCACGACGGTGTTTAGGCCGCACATACCGACCAAGCGTCGCGCGAGGACCGATTTTCCAGACCCGGGGGCTCCGTGGATGAGCACGTGGGGTAGGGGGGCTCCTCTGCGGTACGACGAGCTGGCGGTGACGGCGTGTGTCGTGTGGGTGCACCAAGGGGCCCGGAGACGGGAGGGGGCAAGTGTGTGGGGGATGTCGTGGCTGTGAGGTAACGGATATTGTGTGGGGGGGCGAACTCATGTTGTACATGCCTCAGCTTTTAGATAATGGACTACGCATCTTCAAGAGGACGGGGGATTGTTCCCACAGAACCGATCGCCGACGGCCAGTCGTTCCGTCCGATTTTTGTCAGGGAGGCCTTTAAAATGTTTTCCCTACCTTGTCTACATATTACTTGTCGGTGGTCTGAGAGAGGACAGAGCTCTGGTGGTGTACATGTCTCCACGTTCACCCGCAAAACGGGCGCGCTTATACTTTCGTTGCTCGTTTACCACCTCGCTCTTGCAGCAGCCATTGGCAAAACAGAGTATTCCTGTAATCGGGAGGTAGGTGCTATTGATGCGGGGAATCTTGGGACGTACCGGATGGAGTTGGCGATACCCCGAATACGATGTTCCACGTCCGGAGGCAGCACGATTCCTTTCAAAGCCTCCGGCAATGAAGGGGCCATCCCGCTGGCAATGTGAGGCGGAGGGGGGTGTACTCAACCGCGCTGCTGCTGTAGATGTTATAAAATCGACCTCGCATCCCTACTAAGGCGGCACAGAGCACAAGGGTCGCGGCTAAACCCTGTGCTTTGCCATCGTGTTAAACCGGACGTCGACGGTGGCGTTGGTACAGCTTCATTGATGCAAGAGCTCCAAGCATGCGACAGGACTGATATTTTCTCCTTGAAAACATGTGGTAGGCATGGCACCGGGCGACAACACCTTACGTAGCCAAACAAAACCTCCGTTACATGCACACGTTGTTTTGAGCACCGCAGTCAAAAACGAGTGACGTTACATCAGCGACAACAACCACATCATGAACAACTGGACACAGCCATTCCACCGAAAGAGGCACTCACTCCCCTGTTGAGGCCTGAAAAAATTGTAGTAGTACGTACCTGCAGTGGCTCGACTTGCCGAGCAACGGAAGCAGCACCGCGCGGCCGCGTCGAGCAATCCAGGCGACGGCTGCTGCCGGTGGTGATCCCGGTAGGTCCGACTCTCTCACGAGGCGCGGCTTGGTGGCTCTCCGTCGAATCGCCATCGCTAACGTTGACGTTTCATATTATTTTTCATTAGAAGAAGGGAGGTTGGAGGACAGAAGCGACAATGTATAAAAGGGATCTTGTTTCAGAATTTCGGTTGCTTGCCAGCCGGCAGCCGCCTCGAGACTCCGGAGAGGAATGCGCTGACAAGCTCGGAAAAATTGCAGGGGAGATGATCAGGGCAGACCCGTCCTTCCCTCTTTCTCGCTCTCTCTCGATCCGCGACTTTCACATCGCCATACTTCCACCCAGCTTCCTCGCACCGTGCCGAGTATTGTTTTTTACTCTTCCCAGCTACATGCTTAGGATGAACGAGCCAAGTGATAAAATAACCAGCGACATTTTCTCCGAAATGTTCGAACAACCAAAACCGGGGGGTGAAGTCTGCTTGACGTGCGAAACTCTCCTCTAGCACCATTGCTATCGCGTCTTGGCAAGCCGCGGAGGCGAACCACCATCAAAACGAAGAGGACGAGAAAGGATGAGTTGGAGCAAGGAGTACCCCTCTTGCGCTTCTCGTCACGAAAAGGGACCCGGTGACAGCATACGTGGGGGGCGGGGGGGAGGGGGGGGGGGTGTACTCATAGTCGTGCATGACGTAGTCGTTAGACCGGGGGAGAGGGGGGGTGGTACCTGCAAGCGTCACGGAGTTTCCGACCAAGAGTATGGCGAACGCTATTCCTAGGGCCGCCGCCATGATCCTTGCTAGCTTGATTGGGTCGGACGTGGTCGCCAGCACGAACGATCCTATGAAAGCCGACGTTTCATCGATGACCTGGATTTGATTGGTTTTGGGGTTGGCGGACAAGTAACGGGGGGAGCGGGGTACGTTACTCCTGCTTGGGTGCATGGTTACGAAAGAAGAAGCGACCCCTAAAGATCTTAGAAACGAATGGCATTTTTGTTTCATTGACCTTGGAGCTCACCCTTGTCCCAAACGATATCACGGCTCCGTCATATTTTGTTTTTCTGTGGTTTTATCGTTTCGTTTTGAGTTCGATTGGTTGTCGGGATGTCGACCAATTGCGGACTCGAACCGACCAGCCGCCGTCTGACCCCCTCCCCTTATACTTCTACCACGTAACCGACGCCTTCCGCCAACAACGTAAGAAACCGAACCGAGTCAAAGGTATGATACGGTACACACTGTGTATCCGACCGAGACGAGAGAAACAAACCGAACCAAACCTACGTACGTAGTCTAGCTAGCCAAGGTGGCACCGTCCAGTAGTTCGAGGACCACAACCAATGGAGCCGCAAAATGACCACCCATATTAAGAAAGGCCGTAGATTTGCTCTTGCTGATTTACCGCACAGATGGCTAAAGGGAAGGCGTTTTGGCTAAATGCTTCTCTACGGCGGTCTCTCACGGCCTGTGTCTGCCTCCTGGCCTCCGCCCCCTTGGCCCTTATCCTAGCTTTGTCCGTTGCTTCTCCCTCCCGCTCGGCTTCCTTTGTCGCTTGAAGAGTGGCAAGACCCTCGGCAAGCCTGTTTCGTTTGACACATACACGCGGCGGCGACTATGGCAGTTGTGCTGAGGCGCTGTGCTCAAGGTCCACGTCAAAGAAGACCAGGTGCAGCCAACCACTTGCCGCACTACACTGCGAAGGAGGGTGTGACACTGCGTGTGAACCCCGGGAATCATTTCATTTCGCGAACTTGTTGTGCTTTTTTGTATCGCCACGCATCAAGGACAGGTTGGTTTGTGTCAACCAATGAACTGCGAGCCGCACCGTATCAGTTGTACCTACCTGCGATCTGAGGATAGCTTCGCGGTCTGATTGGCGGCCTCCATATCGAGCAGGAGCAGGGCGACGTCGGTTGCCATTCGCAGGGACTCCTGTCATCCGTACACCCAGGCCATTCGAGCGAACGACCCACCCGCGAACGAGTGTTGGGCGAGAAGATGGACGAAAAACACGCCTTGTCGGTTTCGTAAAGCGACATCTCCAAATGACTTGCACATAAGAGAAAATAACACGACCATCCTAGCACCTTGCCATGATAACATCAAGAAGTGCTCTTCGTGCATTTTCTCTCCGAGTGATCTTCAGCAGTTCATACCTCAGAACAGCCCGCAACACACGCCTGTCTCGCTATTATTTCAACCTGAAGATGCCAGTAAAACCGGGGTAAATATCCTCCTCGTCTGTGATGCCATAATCACGCGCTGGTATTCCTTCCAACGAAGTTGAAGGGCTCGTTTTGACGGAGGTTGTGTGCACTCCGTGTTTCAGAGAGCTCTTGTCTCCTACTTCTACCATTCTGTGAAGTCGACTGATTCACCGTGCAAGCGAGTGGGCAGCAACGATTGACAACAACACCGAGCTTGGGCGGACTTAGATGTAAGCACACCCAGCTCTCAAACGCATTCCAAAAAAGTCCCACATCAACACTGACAAGTGGTATCAGGAGGAGAGAAAAGGGCATGACACGCGCCCGAGTCAACGTCCATGGTTCCGAGACCAGCGAAAAAGTAGGCAGGGCAACAAATACAGTGCCGGCTACGATAGAAGAGAGGGTTGGATGAGGTAAAATATTTCTCTTATATCTGGCTTTTTCTTGAACAGTGGGATGCTGTGTACACCCATGTATGCCTATCGGCCGTGACTAGCGATTCTAATTCTCGCATATCCGTACTTTCTCTTTTTCCGATTCTCCAATATCGTAGCCGGCACTGTCGCAGAAAACATTGGATATCATTGCTTGTATGACGGAAAATAGCACGCACCTCTACAGGGATGAGCTCTTCCAATCCTTTCTGTTCCTCCCGCAGGTTTTGGACCGCCAAGGAAGCCTTTTCTTCGGCGAGGGTGATCGCAAGCTCGAGTTCCATTTCCGAGATCGCTAACGTCTTGTTTGTAGCAAAACAATACACGTGGCAGGTTTCGAGGTGCGGGAGGGTACTGGTTATCGTGCACGCAATCACAGTCACACGTCGGTATAATGTACGTCCAGCATACCACAACAACAAATCAAGGCCACCCCGGTAGCTACACGTGTTGTTTCGTAGAGCCTTGGGCCACATCCTGGCGTCGGCTGACTGCCCTGACGAAAGGGCAGCAGCAGGTAAAACTGGCTCACCTGGTTATGCTTATGCTCGAGCAACCGTCGACGCTCCCGTCCCGCCTCTTCTCCGGACAAGAGCTTGCCCTGTCATTTCAACCATGTGAACTTGATTCGGTTTCTGCCTTGGTTTCTGCCAGTTGCCGATTCAAAGCATCTCTGATCGAGGATCAATTGGATGTCAGTGAGTGCTCTAGACCCTTGCGCGGAAGAAAGGTAATGTGCTGTTGGTAGTTGGGCTCCCACTTGGACCTTGATGTCGAGGTTCTCTATCGACCAGAGCGAAGCCCCGAGTTCTCTCGATTTATAGTTTCAACTGAGGGTTAAGTGTACACGACACTGCTGTTTTCGTGGCTTGGGTGCCTTGGCAGCGATTCTTTTGTCATGAAGATACGTACCTTTAACTTGCTCATATCATCGTGTGACGCTGTATGTCAAATGATGTACCGGTGCGGAGAAGCTAGCGTTTGGCCTCACGGCCTTGCCTTCGCATGTTAGATCGTGTTTTCCTATACTCTGCACCCGTTCTCGAACAATGATGTACCCTACATTAAACAATGTTGTGCCCTTCCTTGCACGAAAAATAACCTTGTACCCTCGGCCCGAGTCTTTTTCCCGTTCTGTTTACAGTACCTTGACAATGTCTCGTTTTAGCTCCGACAAGGCCGCGAGCTCCTTCAGACTTGCTGCTGGCTGCCACTCCTTTTCCTGTTCTTCCATAAACCTCACCAGCTTTAGACTCGCTGCGAAACAAGAATCGGGGTATGTCAAATTGGGAACACGACGTTGTCGGTGTGGAACCAATGTCATCCTTTCTTGTCTTTGAGGTCGGCCGTGATGTTATGGCTTTTTCTACTCCCAGGTCCCGCTTTCTGCCATAAACCCCGGATGGGTGGCTCAGGAAGGAATCGTCCTAACATTCAGCCGGCAAGTGTGTTCAGAATCGTTGGTGTTCTACATGGTTGGGGCAAGCAGGCCTCGGTCTTAGCCAGCAGCATGTTGGACTCGTATCTGCGGCTGTGTACGTGGACAGGACACCGCAGTCCTCCCTTGTGAAAGTGCGGCTAGGCTACTCCCAGGTTTCCCCCCCCTTCACGCCGGCATCCGGAGCCATCTATGATTCAGAAGTAGCCTTCTAGACAACTGGTATGTGAAACGCGTTTTGTAGGGCAGACAGTCGGAGGACTATCGGCATTCACACGTTCGTCGAAACCTCTCACCGTTCTCAGTTTCGGCCTTTAGGATGTCCAGCTTCGTTTCTAGTGCGTCATACCTCCGTTTCAATTCCTGCAAAGCCAAAGGTTGGGGGGCAAGGAGGGGGCGGTATCCACGACGACGTAGACACGAGCACAGAGGAATCACGCAGTATTCTCAGGCCTTCTTTCGACGAGGGCTGAAAAGGTGCGAATACCCAATGTCACCAACAGAAGCGGCAGTACCACCCACAGCAGCCAACAATGTCCACAACAACGACAGCAACATCAAAAACAACGACAGCAACATCATCATCAACACCAACGACGACGACGACGACGACGACGACGACGACGACGACGACGACGACGACGACGCGCTTCGAAGCCATGCCTGAGTAACCGCAACCGTGTGTGCGAAGAGGTAGGTCCAGTCGATGTTCGGCACATTATCCACCCGCAATCTAGATCCGTCGGGTTGTTGCACCGGTAAGGTGAACGTCGAGAACGCCTCCGGCAGGAGTCTGGCCATCTCCGTTGGAAGCACACCGAGCTGCCGCCGACCTTTATTCCGGTCGTACTTGAAGGTGTAGTATCTCAAGCGGGCCTTTGGACAAGTGCAACACATGGGTCATCAAACCGACTTGGCGGGGAGAGAGCTGTTGACCACATAGATATTACGAAGGCTTCAGAAGGTGAGGTATGTTGATCCGTTTTCCGTAGATGATGCAAACCCATGAGATAAAACATATCGAAGGAACGACTCTCTATCCGCCAATCAACGAAAAGTCCATGATTGACCCTGAAACAAGGAGTTAAGGTAAATGGTTGGAAGCTAATATACTCGGGTTCATGGGGAGCCTCTTCGGTCGACATGTGATCCTAATGCTGTGTGCACCCAAAATATTTCGTCTTCGGGAGGCACGTGTGCTAAGACCCAACAATACGCTTGACGACATATCAATACCCCTTTACTCTCCGGGTATCTAGTATAAGTATTCCCTGTAGTGCACACCGTATAGTGACCGCTATCGCACGGCCTCCCATCTACGTGATGTGCTGGACTGTATGTGTGGAGGTTGTTTTGTCCGTCACGAGCTGAGCCCTTTAACCTTGCGTGCTACAAATTACGGTCAGCGATTAGAGGGGAGAGCGAGCCGTGGAGCCGTATGTTTACAATATTTACGTGTCCAATAACTGGCACATGCAAGATGCACGGACCTCACGCAGTATCTCCCAGCTCTGAACCGGGTCGGCTTGGTCGATGATTTGGTACCCTTCCCAGGGGTCGTGCTCCGCTTGACCCGCAAACGGCACCTCGCGCGTCATGTGTGCCGCCCCAGATGTGTCAGTGGACGACCCGGAGTGATCTTCTGGAAGGACGGGCGTCACCATGCTTTTGCTTTCGGTGATGTTAGTACCAGTTAAGGTCTCACGCTGCCCGTTGGCGTCGTCCGTTTCCCGAGAAAGAGCGGGACGGTCGTCTTCAGCGGTGGCAAGTGGAGGAAGTTTCGCCGGCTCCTCCTCCTCTCCTCGGCCACCCAGACCACCAGCACTGGACGACTCTCTTGGTGTACCTTTACTGTCACTTTCGTGAATGTAGAGCTCATCCGAGCCGCCGTCTACTAGAGAAACAGGGAGGCGCGTGGTGAATGGTCCGTCGTCGCTCCTCCACCTCCCCTCCCAGTTGCACATCCCGGTCGCCGCATGGTCCTTCGGTTCGATGTTTATTTCTTGTTGGGCTTCCAAGTCTGCTAACCCAGATCCATCATCTCCGTTCCGAACTCCTTCGCTTCCAGCAGCGAGTGGCGCTCGGGTGTCATTGCCATCGCGAGGCGCCTCCGAGGATGTACTGGCCGACAGATTGCCATACTTGCTGGTCGGCTCCAATCGGCGTTCGACAGCCACGGGTGTGTCGGCAGCTTGTGCGTGGCAGGCTGGGCAGAAAGCAGCAGCAGCAACAACAACTGCAATCTTCCGTAGGAAATCGCTTCTTCGAGCCATAGAAACGAGGTGTGACAACTCTTAGCGCCACTCTGGCTATGGAACTTGCACGTGCGGCACCTGGGCATGGTGGATATGCGACACAATTGCGGCGCAATTGGGAGTCAACCGTAACAAAAAAATGTCGAGAACCAAAACCGTCACCTGTTCGGAGAGACGCCAACGATCTTACCGCTCCCGTCCTCTCTTCTGGCTGGCATATTCTCCGCCTATCGCATACCAAAATAGCGAAGCAGAGCACGGCCGTATGCTGTAAACCTACGGAATTTGCCTTTACATCATTTCCTACGCTGGTCGTGCACGAGTGGGGGGATGGCTGCTCTAACGGCTTTGGCGTGGCTAATATCCAGCAGCATGTGTGTTGCCTCCGCTCTGACGGACACGACCGCAACCAGCGGCATCTCGATAGGTTCCCCCGCATCAGCTCATCAGCAAGCGGCATTGACCGAGAGACCAGCAGTGTCCTCGGAAAGTGACAATAGCAACGATAGCTTCGAAGACGATGATGACGGTTGCCTCGGTGCCCATGGTAGAAATGATGAGGCCTGGGCCTGTGATGAGGAGGTTGACCTTGGCGAGCTCGCCGATCGCGTTGCCGACGCTCTGCTCGGTATTGATGCTGAAGAGAGGAGAGTGCTGGGCTCGAAAAATTCGATACCATCACTATCACCGACAAGCCGGACTAGAGTGGAGGCAGACGCGAGAAACGTTTGCGGGGAAGAGTATCTCAAGATGTGCAGCAAGGGAGCGAGTTGTTGCAACATCAGCTCTTGCCTCCAGATCGCATGCGGGGAGTTCACACGCGGGGGTGGCTTGACGAAGGTATTGATTCCCTATCAGCACCTCATTGTATGTGTCCCAGGAACCCCTGTCTGTCAATGCCGCCGGCTGCTCTACTTGACGGGGTGGTCGAGCGGCAAGAAGCTACAACCAAAATTCTTGACGGAGTGGTCGAACGGCGTAAGTCTACAACCAAAATTCATAGCTCAAAGGGTTCATATGTAGTCAAACACCTTCACCACGCCATCCCTACGACAACCACGCGCGACGCTCATTCACAAAACACAGAGCGGAAGGCAATCCTCAAACTGCTGCTTTCGTCTGTCGTTTTTCCTCTTCAGTCCACCGTGGGGGTTGCTGCCGGGGAATGGCAACAATCCCGCTTGAAGCGGCACGAGGCTTTGGTAGTCTCCATCGACAAGGACCCGTCCATGCCTCCGAAGGATCGGTTGGAGAGCCTGCAGCTCCACGTCCCTGAGCTGTTTGCTCACGTCAGTCCCAAGGGTTTCAAACGTTTGATTTCCCAGGTGGGAATAAGGGTCGCATGGAACGTTAGGGTAAGCGTGTGGCCCCAACCTGTGTAAATTGTTGAGCTTCAACAGGGACGTTGTGCGGGATCAGGGTTGGATATGAGGTCCAAGTGAGACTACAGCCTCAGGTCTAGCAAATCTTTCCGCCTGGAGAATGATGTCTTGTTGGCTGTATCTCGGACAAAACTAAAGCCGCTCTCTGAGATAATGTATGACCTTCTTTGTTGTACGATGGAAGACACACACTGATTTTACACCCCAATCATGTTGCGTACGACATGAGTCTCGGAAAATGAACGTAACAAACGGCTCTTCTCACCGAGCCGGTTTCAAACCCCACCTATTTTTAAAAGTATGTATGACGTAGCCTTGGTCACTCCCTACACGCCACATAAAGCCTAACCTATCCTCGTTGCAACGCGAATTTCCCTGTTAATGTACATAGCAGGTCACGCATGGCGAAGCCAAAGCAGTCAAACATTCCGGCGCAATCGGCAACGCTTTGCATCACCGCCAGTCGAACCACGCTCAAGAGCTTGGGGGAAGTTCGGGAGGCGTTAACACCCGACAGACCCCACAGGAGGAAGAGGAAACAGACATGCGGCCTGACAAGCTTGTAGAGGACGGGACAATAGTCCAGCAAGGAGGCAGCAGAATTGTCGTAGGCGGTAGGACAGTTGTAATAGGCATGGACACTCCTCCACCTTCGGACAGCTCACAGCTCAACCGCGGCGCACGGAAACGGCTACGAGTCGAGGCATACAAGGAAGACTCGATCTCAAGCGTGACGACGCCATCTTCAGGGTTAAGGTCCACGTCAGACGAAGTACACGGAGGAGGAGGAGGACGGGGGGGAGGGGGGGGACACGGCCCCACAAGGGAGGGGGTTGCTGTCGTCTCGGGCGACGGGGATGGAGTCAACACGGTTGCAGAAGGGCGACATCAACAACAACACGGGTTCGACGATGCCAGCATGGTGGAAGTACCGTCGCCACCGGAGACAGACGCAGTCCAGGTCCAACGTGCTGCTGTATCGCAAAGCAGTGTTGTGGACGAGCAAGACGGATCACTGCTACCGTCATCTTTGAAACAGGACAAGTTGTCATACGAGGGGGGAGGTCTCTCGGCGTGGGGTGTCGGGCAGCCTGTGACGGGGCTTGCCGACGTCGACATTACCTCCACGATGAATGGGCTGCTGGAGAGAGAGGTACGAACTGTTTCAGGGTGGTGGAGGGTGGTTCTGTAAACGGTATATCGACGCTCCAGTGGGTGTAGGGGACCATTCAAGGCAACGTACTTGCTTTGAAATATTAAAGTGGTGAGAAATATTCTGTAGACACAGGACAAACGTGGACAACCTGGTGGGCGCTTGTCATGGCAAAGCAGTATAGGTAGGAGTGAATGTTATGCGCAATTGGTGTACGCTTCACAGCTACGGCGAGACGGCCGGGAGAGAACAAACAGTTTGTGCCTGTATTGTCGGAGAGTTGGGACGTTAGCGGTCACAAGTGCAGGTGGAACCGGCACAGTCACGGTATCCTTTCTCTGCAGCGACGACTTCGTCCTCCTTAGCCAATATCACTAGACGCCGGTGATGGTTGTGGCCTACAGCTGGGGGTGACAGTACCCCACTCAAATAGCTGTCTTGATCTCAACATCCCCCCGGCTGCGCAACGTGGTCTAGATATCGGAGGCGATGCGAGAGGAGAGCGATCGCTTGGGCCGAGAAAGAGCGGCCGTAATCCGGGCCGCCATGGATCTCCTTTGGAAGGGGTACTCCGAGCACGCCTGGGGCTACGATGAGGTACGAGCAAGAACAGGGGGGAATAAAAAGGCGGGCAGGGATGTGGGCTCGGTGGCTGATCGCTCTTGAATCCATAGCTCTCTGGCAGAAATTGATTGTATGGTTTCGAGGGATTTAGCACTCAGGAGACATGTCTCCAAGGATGCTGCATTTTCGTTGTCCACTGTCCACTATTATTGTCCACAAAGCTGCAGAGACCACCCCCGCTACGGGCTGGCACTACGAAGAGGGGGATACAGGGCGTCTTGGGCCTCTTTACCAGCAGGAGTGCTTAGTCGTCCGTCCAACTTCACCGATGCAACTCAGAGCCACTACCCCATGTAGTTGTTGCCGCTCTTTCCTTGCTGGACTTGATTTTTCTTAGCTTTGTGTGCCGCCCCCAAAACACTATTCATCCACGACATACATAGGTGAAACCTTTGAGCAAGAAGGGAAGCGACAATTGGGGGGGCATGGGGGTGACCCTGGTCGATTCCCTGGACACTCTCTGGCTCATGGGACTCACCGAGGAGTTTTACAATGGGAGGTAGGCGATTTTTCAGTGGATTCCGTCTGGGGTCTTGGAGCGCCCCCCTTCCCTACATTCTCAATCACTTCGACGTGTGCCGAATGTTTCCATGCTCTGCATCCACCAATCCTCGCATCGCTTGCATGGTTGCTTATTTCTATTTCTCTCAGAATTCAGCTGTATCCACATGAGGTATGTATGTGGTCAGCCGTCAACTCTTTTCAAGCATTGCGGTTGTCACGTGTTCCACTTTTCGAATTAACCAATAGCATGCACCCTCTTCTCAGTCGTGCCGTGCGGCACAGACCTTTCCCGACCTCGCGTATTCATCCAAGTATTTGGCCGCCTTGACAACCGTCGGCCACAACGGCGACAACACCGGTTGGTGTCCCGCCTCTACTCAACGCGCTCGTTCGACGCGCTTACACGTATGTACGCAGGGACTGGGTTCGAGACCACCTGACGTTCAATGAAGTCGGGATGGTGAGCGTCTTCGAGACGACGATAAGGGTGCTTGGGGGATTGCTCTCCGCTTTTGAGCTGTCCAGAGACGAGGTAAGGGGGGAAGTTTTATTCCACCCGGCCGGGCAGTTTGACCTTTCGCCTGCACGTGCCTGTCGTGGCTCTGCTCGTGCTGAGTCTGAACCCTGTATCGCCTGCTATGCAGTGGGGTTTTGTCACTCTGACCGAGATGGTTGCCGCCAACTCTGTAGACCGCCTACCGATACAACCTTCCACCCGTCAAGTTACTTTTCGCATTAGCAGTCAGGAACGTTCACACCCATGTTGAAAGTTCAGCAGCACGGTGAGACACCGTAGCTCCAATGTTAACCCGGTGTTGCCTCACGCTAAGACAGGTGAAAATTGTGAAAGCTAGGTAGATAGTTGTTATTCTTCACGGAGAATAACCTGTAAGCACTCACTCAACAATGGTGTGGCAGGTGTTTCTGGAGCGCGCGAAGGACTTGGCGGATAGACTTATGCCAGCCTTCGGAACCTCTACCGGAATCCCGTACAAACTGGTCAGTTGGTGCCATTCCTACCGTGCAAAGGTTGGCCGTCGAGAGCTTAAGCAATAGATCCGCGGGAAAGACAAACACGTTGAACAGCACACAAGCGCAGACACGTGAAAATGTGAAAGAACTACTACTGTAGGGGCATACATACCGATTTCAAGGATGACTCCGAGTGAAGGCCTGTAGAGAATGAGTTCCAATGAGCTCCCGGAAGTTATTGGCTTCGGGAAACCGACCTCCCCGACACGTACTGGGACAATCTCGAGAGGGGCAAATGGACGCGGTAGAGCTTATGTAGTACGCCACGTTTGTTATGCGAAAGGATCACGCAGAATTCGATGCTGAAGGAGAGTGATTAGGAGAGCAAGACGTTCTCGTATGAAATAAGGCAGAACCAGCATGGAGATGAAATCTGTTCTGAATGTTGCTTGGTTTCGCAAAAATGTGCGTGATGTCGAAAAAGGGACGACGATGTGATATTTTCTGATGCCTCTCTTGCGGTGTCACAGGTGAACCTTTCAAACGGGAAGACAGGCGGGGGTTCTTACAGCGTACTCTCCGAGTTGGGCACTCTTCAGGTGCGTATTGTAGTAGCATTCACACCGCCATCATGTCGTCGAATGGAGCACGTGTGGGACCACGTGACGGATTTTCACTTTCGAGGAAAATGTCAATGATCCAAACGCAGCCGACATTTCAACCATAACGAGTATGTGGCGACGTTACCTTGGGTATCCTTCATGCTTCTGGGGGCTATTCTTCTTGGAAAACTCCGATCATGTGAACTGGTCGTATGCATGGGTGGTATCGTTGTAGGGCGAACGTCATCGTGATGGCGACGACGTCGACGACATTTTGTCCTGGATCCTCGTCGCGTCGTGCCACCACAATCTCAGTGTGGCGCGGTATCTCGGTCGAGCGCGGGCTTGTCGTACAATCAATCCACCCTTGGCCCCTCTCGAAACGGATCCAGTCTTCGTCATGTTGTTGTTGCCTCTACCCTCGACAACATCTCAGTTGGAGTTCCGATATCTGAGTCACGAGGTGGGAGACGAGAAGTACGCCAGAACGGTGAGCGTGCTTTGTGGCCGCTTCGCGAACTGATCGACACAATTCGGACTCGACCAACGGGTGTTCGGGACCCCGTCGTTACCTCGAGCTGTGCAATGGATCATTTGGTGGTGATTTGAAGGTTTCATTGCTACGGAAGCATGTGGCAAAGATGTCTCTATGCCTGATCCTCACACCGCCAAAGATAACGTTAATATGTTTGTTCCTAAATAAGGATTCGGACGAACTGACCAGGAGTACTGAAAAAGCCATCGCGTCAACAACCAACAAGATTGCACACTCACACCCATTACCGACGTTTGTCAATGATTTGGCCAGGCGATGCGGGCGTTCGACTTCCTGGCTGGAAGAACAGTGCCACACGGTCTTTACCCGATTCGGATTAACCCCAACACCGGAAAGTTCACTTCGTCCCAGGCAAGTGACCCCAGCAAAAAAGAGTCAACATATCGCCAGACGCGTGCAAGTTATTCACTCTCCTTCGGTACGTTAAAGTTAAAAGTATGATTGACGCGGATCGAATAGGTATGTATCACTTCGAAAAGCTGCAGTACATGTACCCTGCTGCTTTCAATCCGATTGCCGGGTTCCACATCCGCACGTATATTTCGCTCTTCACACCATCCCCATGCGTCACTCGACTTTTTTTTTCGCGCTTTCTTTGCTTTCTCAGGTTACCTTTGGGGCCTTGGGTGACTCGTTTTACGAGTACCTGTTGAAGGTGTGGATGCAGGGAGGCCGTCGAGAAGAGAGCTACCGCAGGATGTACGAAGATGCCATGGACGGTGTAGCGGAGCTCCTCGTCCAGAAGGTGCGACCGTCCGAACCTCTCCGATCAATCTGGGGATGCCTCCCTGCCTGGCAGACAATCAAGACCCTTTGGTGCATGATTCCTGCCGCCTACAACTCAACTGTCATCCTCACCACAAGAAGAAACTTCAACACACGCTACTGTTTTCGGTGAATCTTTCATACTTCGACTCCAACCGGTGTTACTTTTCACCAATGCCGTCGTCGATATCTCGTCCTCGACCTCAGCGGATATTAGCTATTACCATACGGAGGGCCGCCTTTGCCGGCGCTGTTGGTGAAATGCGATTTTAAGTTTTGTTTTTGAGAAAAGATGTTTGTCGTTTTTTCTTTCGCTGTCGTTCTTTCTCTCGTTTCTCTCACCCCTCCCCTCATCTCTCCCCACTGCGCTGCCTTGTTGCACCCCACCTGCCGTGCTGGCATCCAGGCCCGCGGACTAACGTACCTCAGCGAGTGGAACGGCACGAGGCGGCAGCATCGGATGGACCATCTCGCGTGCTTCTTGGCGGGGAACCTGGCCCTCGGTGCCATGACCTCACATGACTCACGAAGGGCAGCGAGGGATCTGAGGACTGGAAAGGCGAGTGTTCTCTGAACAATAACGGGAGAATGGGCGACGATGACTACAATACTAAATACAACAACAATCACAACAGCAGCAGCAGCATCAGCAGCACAAACACGCCGTTGCATACAACGCTGGAAAACAAAAATTGATTGCGAGTTCGCACTCTCTGTAGCTTCTGAACTAAAGGCTCATTTTCACTAGTTTCTCGAACTTCAGAGTATCGTCCATCTCTCATCTCTCAGAAGACGCCGGTCGCAAGGTTCTTGCGCGGGGTACGAGGAGGGGTTGGAGGTGAGGTTGGGTCAATTCTCCTCCAGAACAGACCTTCTTTCGACCCTCTCCACTCCACTCCGTCAGTGACCGCGCCATCAACTTGGGGGTTATTGTCATCAACCGACACTCTTTTCTCTTCGACCAATATGCCAATTCCAGGCCTTAGCGTACACCTGTTACCAGATGTACCTCCGCACCGCCACCGGCCTCTCTCCCGAGGTGGTGGAGTTCAACGGAGCGGGAGACATGAGAGCGCGCGACCAGGCTCGCTTCTACATCCTCAGGCCCGAGACTCTGGAGAGCTTCTTCGTCCTGCACCAGCTCACCGGAGATCCGGTGTACAGGGAATGGGGTTGGGAGATCTTCAGGCATGTATGTCTATCTGCAGTACATGTTCATGTTCCTGTTGCGACAGCCCAAAGTGTGAGGCGCACAAGGTCGACCTTTGGTTCGGGTGGTTGATTTTTTCGTCGTAAGGTCTTGGTTTCCTCCCCGGGTATTGATGTGGGCTCCCCATACTTGACGTTGTTCGTGTCTACTGCTCTTGGGGACGATCCTGCTGAGCGCAGGCTGGTATCGCTGAAGGGTTCTGCGGCTTCACAATGACTGTCATTGGTTGCCGTTTAACCATATCTATGGAGGAGAAAGAGAAAAACAGGGTTGTATGGTAACGATAAACTTTTAGCACCACCGAGAACGTCCGAACCTTGCTGCTGCATTGCTACCACCAGGACTAAGAGAGACCACGTGCTATCTCGAAGGTGTGCATGACCAACGTCTTCCCCCCAACCAAGACATTTCCCAGCTCATAATTGCGTTTTTTCCCCTGATGACGATCGTCTAAGCGTTGGAATGAACAACGCTGACATGAAAAACGCTGACGTCCCCCACACCCTTTGGTTTGTGTGTGCTTCACACCGTGTGGATATTGCCGGCGATCGCTATTTTCACTCGTCAAGGGCAATCGAGAGACATTGCCGGGTCGGAGTGGCATACGGTTCTCATCCAGACGTAGAGGTGAGGACGTGTAACAGCGGAAGCAGCAGCAGTCAAAACAAACTAGCTAAAGAAAATATAAAATGCACCTGGTACTAAGGGGACACTTGCGTTGTCGCCATGCGTTGTGGCAACAACGGACCGACTCGAGGGCATATCTAGGGTTAACGTTGAAGCACAGTTCTGCTTCGTCTGATAATGGAGTGTGGACTACGAACGAACAAATTCTTCCCCTCCCCCCTCCCCCGGGCGATCTCTTGTGTGCGTACATTTGTTCGGTATCCTTGAAGAACCCTGGGCTCGAGGCGAAGGACCACATGGAGTCGTTCTTTCCGGGAGAGACCCTCAAGTACCTCTACCTCCTCATGCAGCCGGACCATCCCATCGATCTCATGGAGTATACCCTCAACACGGAGGCCCACCCGCTCAAGATCTTCACGTTCGATGACGCCGCCGCCGGTCGTAGCCAAATCCTTGCCTAGGATTGATTCCCTTAGGGGAACACCGATGTACTCTCTCTCTCTCTCTCTCTCTCTCTCTCTCTCTCTCTCTCTCTCTCTCTCTGTACACGATCCTTGGGCGCGAAATCGCTCCGCGCCCCGACTTGACCTGGCCCGTCAACCAAACGAGCACGCCATGATCGACCGTGGGTCTGATTGAGCCCATGAACAACCTGGCTGCGTTTTGGTGTGTCTTCCGGCCAAGTAGTCGTCTGGTGCGTCTCGTGATGCATCATTTTGTCGGGGAAGGTGATTGATAGTGGTCTTGGCTTTCGGCATTCCGTTCGGTGCAGATGTCCGGTCCTTATATAATACTTCAGTATGTATTTAGTGCTTGGTCAGAATGTACGGTGAAAAGGGAAGACACTCACGAGGTGTTGTGGATATACCGATGGGAGTTGCGTGGGTGTGATATCCCGATGGGAGTTCCAACACAGGTTTTCGGAAGCTACTGGCCTAGACTAGTGGATAGCGCTAGTTCGTGTGTACACAGATGGAAGAGAGTTCAGGGAAGAGAGTGCTGAACTCTTCTCGCATTAAAAATCGAAGGCAAAGTACCGCAGGGGGGGAGGGTAGAGAGGGGCTCTTCTACGTGACCACGGGTTGGAGTAAACGGCACTAGTGCTGTGAGCGCTGATTTGAAGTGAAGACTACCCAAGGGGATCCACGAAATCTAGGTGCTTTGACGTCTTACTATAGATTGATTGAGCAATACATTTTTGAGGTCGCGGCTCTTGAAAACACCGTGGAGTAGGCAAACGAGAGCTCAGGTTGAATTGATCCTTTCTCTAGACCCACTATAGTCTGTATATAGTACGAATACCATGGTCAGCTACAAGTGGAACGGCTTGTCAAAAGGGTGAAGGCTTCTTTCCCGAAGGGAACCACGATGCGCGGTAACACGAGATCACGACGACAACAAACAATACTAATTCGTCAATGCGCAACAACATGTAAGCGCATGAACGCTACTGCTGTGATATTGGGAAAATAAGGCCCTTAGCCCGTGTAGTAATCGTTGTTGTTGTCGTGGTCGCTGTTGTTGGTGCAATCAAATCAAAAACCAGTCGGAGCGGCAATGAATCTGTATTGATCCAAAGAGGCGTTGAGCCTCAATACAACGTTGTTAGCAGCAGGGTGCGTGGGTCTCCAAAATATTTCTTTCTTACGCTGTGTTCTCGCGTATTCACGGTAGGGAGAAAGACAATGACCGGCTGTATGCAAATTCAACATGTTATCGGGGCAGACGTCGCGTCCATTTTGGTGCCGACCTCAATTTTGAAATCGTTGTCAGTAGACCCGGTCTACATAAATAGTACTCCGACCTCTACTGACAACAGAAGTTGCCACCGTCACCAAACAATCAATCAATGTAGAATGGACGCTCGATCACAGCTCAGTTTCAACGCCACCAATGCAATGCATGTGCATGACACGCAGGGGACATGCGCCTCTGCAAATGAACCAGGTGTTCCTGTGTAGGAGCTGGGACGTTCGGCCCGGCTTTCCCGCGGTCTCAATTTTGACGTGGAAACATGTACGAGTTCCCCCCTAAAAAGATCATGCCTCGCCCACATGTTGAAACCTTTCTGCGAAAAAAATGCGGGGTGATTCGGCTTATTATTATTGCGGACCGCATGCGATTTTCGCTCTCAGCTTCCGCACTCCAGCACCCATGCTGCAGCAATAATGCTGAGCAACAAGGAGGGGGCTTTAGCTCCCCTGGACGGCCCGCGACGCCGTGAGATGTTCCCGCCGATGAGCAACCTCGCAGACGATGACGATGCCGTGGTGGTGGAGGCTAGCAATGCGCAGTTTTCTCCGCTCAAGTCTGCCGTGAAGGCGGCGGAGGAGCGGGAGGCGGCCGGAGTGGAGAGGTCGCTTGCGGCCGTCTCAAGGCTTATTCAGCGCGTGACTGATGCGCTGGAGGTGAGTTTGGGCGGAATACAGGCCTGCTATTCCAAGCCCGCCACAGCAGTTCTCTTGTTTGGACATGGGGGCGGAGAGAAGAGAACAATTGCATCTACCCCGCCATTTTCCCAAGCGTGCGTGTGTTCTCGTTGGCCCACACACCATTACGCACCCACACCACACCCGCGTTGCAGTGTTGCTGTTGCCCAGACGCACGGCACGCACACCCGAGTACCTGTACGTGCCCCCAACAGTGTTCGTTTGATAGAATCGCACTCATCTTCGCCCGACGTAGATACGAGGAGTCGCCGGCACCGCGTGTATGTCCTGTGTACGTGCGTTTCGTATGGATAGCTCTGCCTACGGCAGCAGTGGTACGCAGACAGAGTTCACCGCTTTGCATCTTGATTTTCACCGGGAGCAGTCGATAGTCAAAATAGCCTACAATTAAGGCTGCTTGAAGATTCCACGCGCGCGGGCGGCCTTACCCTATCAAACTGGCCATTTCCCCGCATTGTGTTTGTGTGCTCACTCGGAATTCTGGAGCTCTGTAAGAGGTTGTGGCCCCCCGCTGTGCTTTTTTTGCTCATTTTCGGCGGTTTGTATGCATACCATGTCTTTGGGACAACGACCCAGATGCCACGCGTTCTCTTGTTAGCACCGGATTGTGAGCCTCATTGGCTGACTGGTGGTCTTGTGGTCATCGTGCGTCTCAACACCGTGCGTGATCTGGGTGCCACAACGAAAAATGTGTCAACTGTTTGTTACCCCGTGGTCATACCGTCACCACATAGCCCGTTATATTATCGCGGAAAATTCTGTCGGGGTATTCTACCCAAAGGCGTCCCCTCGTTACACACGTCAAGAAGTATGTAGACGGCAAGTTTGTTCGACGAACACTATTTAGTCGCAAGCTGCAACATCCGTCATCAACGGACACACCGGGACAATACAGCAACCACGTCTTGTTACTTGCTGCTGATTGTGGATGGGGGTCCATCTACCGACGCCTGCGGGCTTCAATACCGTATATGACACAAGATAACACACCCCCTTGGCCGATTTTCAAAGCTCGATTTCTCAACAGCAGGAAGAGTCACAGCGCCGAAAACGGCGGCGTTGGAACCGTCTCGTCGAGAGCTGTTCGAAAACGTATTGTTTCATTTATGCATCCTCTTCGTCGTGGAGTAATCGAGCTTTGAAAATCGGTCCAGGGGGTGTGTTATCTTGTGTCATATACGGTATACTGCTGAGCTCGGCGGTTTCTATAGCTCTTTATAGCTCTATATCTCTCTTTTTGTAAATAGCCCTGATTACTAGTGAGTGTACAAGTAGTCATCACTACTTTAGAATGACGGGGGTTGGAAATGGCGCGGTATGTCTCCTCTCTGTTCACCACTGTTACTGACTGTAGTTCTGCTACCCCACCTTACCTTCTAGCGTGCCCCCCCCTGTGCACAAATTCTCCGAGAACCCGGCAACTCCCAACAGGTCCCCAAAAATCCGGGAACCCAGAATACCGGGACACGAACCCCTCTGGAAAAATTCGACGGTTTTCAATGAAACGCGGTTTGCACCGTCTACAGCAGCACGTCTGAAAAATCCTGCTCTTTATGGACGATATCCCCCTCCTTACTATCGCCCCGTTGTGTGTTCTCTTGGGTGTGCAAAAACAACGCCATGCATCCACGCATGTACATTATTTGTTGTAGGGCGGAACGCCTTACCTGGGAACCAACGACCAGGCCGTCTTGTTTGGCGAGCTCTCTTCCCTGAGACGAGAGAAGGCCCTGCTCAGAGAGAAGGACTTACGGTTACAGGAGCGGACGAACCTCTTGCTGACGACGACGAGGACGGCTCGCGGCGAGGACGGCGGCAGCAGCGATGGTGAACAGCCCTCTGCCACGGATTCAGGTGCGGAGCAAAAGTAGCTGAGTAGCTGCGTACGGCCACACACGCCCCCCCTTCTTCGCCACAGCTTATTCTCCAAGTGTGAGGTCGATCCTCGCCGCCCGTGCTCTACTTTTCCGAGTTGTGGGACGCGTAGAGGACCGCCTACGCAGGATTTTAAGAGCATGTAGAAAAATAATAACGCAGACCCCTAACCCTAACCCTTTCCCTAACCCTAACCCTAACCCCAAAGCACAGATTGAATACTGTATCCCACATGTTTGCTTAATCAATTTTGCTGCATAGACTACTGGCGTAAGAGGGCCTACCCACTGTGAGACGCACGTGATCATAATAAGTGGTGATGCCCTACCAAAGACTATTCAAAAGAAACGTGGGTAGTATCCCCCCCCCGAATACCTCACGGCGCTTCGCGGTTGGTGATGCCAATAGCCTGGCACGGTGAGCACCCGGCGTGCTCCTTCCCGGCTTTGTAGGGATGCGAGGTCAATGGTCTAACGACTACGGCATGCACGACCATGAGTACACCCCCCCCCCCCTCCCCGGCTCCAAGGCCTGTGTTGGGAAGACCAAGAAAATGATACTGCACGATGATGATGACTTGATTTCCCCCCCCCCCGGGGGTCCCGGCCGACTGCTTTTGGAAATAATTGTGGTGTGTAGAGGCCGAAGACGATCGAATTCTCCAGCGCGTGGACTCGTTCAGCATACTGATCGTGGTGAGCACGCTCATCACGGGTTTCAGCATCCCGACCATCGAACAGGCCCAGCTTGACGTAACGAGGTCGATCATGACCATGGTCTTCGCTCTCGAGGTATGTATGCACCACACCACTATCGGTGATATTTTCCCCACAGAACGGGCCCGCAGATATGTAAGAAACGTCAAATACGGGTCGAGGCTCAGTTTCTTATTTCGTCGCCACTGCTGTGTCGAGCACGGGGTTGTGTAGAGTTTAGTGTAGGATCCACCGCTGAGCTATGTGTCTTCGACATTTTTTTCTTTTTACTCGTGAAATTCTATGGTCCTCTGTTTCTTAACGAAATGTCTCTTAGCTGCGGGGCTGTGCTGCTGTGTACATTGTATTGCTGTATTCTGTGTGTGTCCTTCTTGCTTGACAGTCGCCCTTGTCTCTGAAGGGTTTGTCGTTGGTATTGCTACTGTTGTGTGTCCTCCTCGACAGCCGCCCTTGCCTTCGAAGAGGGTCGTCGTCGCAACCCCCTTGTGCGCACCCACGCGCGCCAGCTCCTTGCCGTGTCCAAAAAGAAATTTCTTGACTCCGTCGTGTTACGACAATGTCGACCCCCGATGCCCAAAGTCTAACGCGCCAAACATGTTCACCCCTCGTAGCCACGATCTGCCGGAAGGCTCGGTGGCGCGTGCCAAGCAAAAGGTTGGAGCTGTTGCTTTGGGATCGAGGACGGCAGGCGTTATCTTGTCGCTAACGTCCCACCTTCGGCGGTTACGATAGATACCGCTGGTCTCTTCTTCGGCTTAGATTTTCCAGATGTCAGTAGGCTTACCACTGTGAACACCTGAAGGACAAAACATTCTATGCAGTCCAACCCCCCCTCCGGGTCTATCCTGTCGAGGACGCGTGGTCAATGTTCCTAGCCGCTAAAAAATGCATGCGAAACGTGAGAGTACGCCCATCTCCTCGTTGCGTGTGTGTATCTCCTGCGCCCCCCCCCCCCCTGCCCAGATGTTCGCCACGATCTTCTTCTCCATCATTAGTTTCTACGCGAAGCAGGCCTTCAACTATGGCTCGACCAACAACCATCGCACCGCAAGGTTCATGTACCACGTTCGATGGATCACCTTCAGCTCACAGGTAGGAAGGTAGAGGTAGAAGTAGGTGTGAGAGACAGGCTGCGCGCGTCTATTGTAAGACCCACGGTTGGTTCCAACGGTTGCGTGTTTTCCTTTGTTTAGCGCGACAAGCAAGCGCGTCATGACAGGTCGGTCTGGTGTAGGTGAACGCTTGCCTCTACAGTATTCCAGGTTTTGCCGTTTGAGAGGAATCATGATCGTGAAGCCGGTCCTTTTTCATGCCTTGCAACACCTTTCTTTGCCCTGGGTGGAGCGAGCTGCAATACCTTCCTACTTGTACCTTGCGTAACCCCCCACGCGCACCTAGCGGTAGCTGCTCACCACACGCGCGCCAATCGTTTAATATCATCATGTCCGGCTGCGCTTTCTCTCGCACACACGCGTGCTTCAATTGGACCGATCACCGCCCTTCAACGCCCTCCCCCTCACGTGTCGCCGCATGGTTGCGGAAATGTTAATGATGCTACTGTTGCAGGCGTGCTACACGATCGGGATCCTCCTGTTCGTGGTCGGCATCCTCCTCGAGGCCACCATCGGCTACGACACGTACTGGGCGCTCGCGGGGGTGGGGCCGGTCGTTATCCTGGGTGAGTCAAAGTCAAAGGAGGGTGGAAGGGAAGGGTACCCCCCCCCCCCCCTACGTAAAGAGAGGCACGCCGGGCCCCCCGCCCTTTAGCTTGTTGCGATCCTCCCAGGCGGAGGGAGGGCGGCGGGAGGCATCCGAAATCAGAATTGACCAAAAGCAAAAAAAAAAAAAAAACCGGGGGGGGGGGGGAAGGGGGGCGGAAAAAAACCCACCCCAAAACCAATTTTTCTCCCAAGGGGGGGGGCACCCCTTTCCAAGGGTAAAAAAACAAAAAAAATTTTTTTTTTCAA